AGTGAGCTGGTTTTCTTGGCAGCCCAGTGAGCCTGGCCCTTTGCTGTTGGTCTGGGTTGGCCTGTCCTGCTTGCCCAGGTGGGAGAGGCCAAATGACAGCTTGGAGTGAAAGGAAGGCTGAGAAGAGTGAAACCTGTGGCCCCCAGTGGTGGAGCTGGGAGGCAGCCCCCAGGACTCCCGAGTGCTGGGGTGTACGGTGCAGGGATTCCAGGGAGCCGTCTCCTTGCCCCCTCACCCACCCCAGCCCCCCACCTCTGCACAGGGAGGGGCCGGTGTGTGGGTGTGTTGTGGCCAGTCCAGGCGCCCTGGAGCCTCTGTCCCCTGCGCCTTTGTCTCTCGTGACACAATGGGTGGCTTTTGTCCCCATAAAGTCCCTTTCACTGTGGGAAGAAGGGTCAGGGCAGGGTTGGAGGCTGGGCCTGGCCAGGCCAAGTTCAGCATGTCCTCAGCTGCCCAGATGTGTCTCTGTGAGGGGGAACCCCAGAATGGCTCATGTTGCCCCCGGCTCCCAGTTTCCTGGATAGTGTAGTGGAGCGAAGGGAGTTCTGGCAGCTTTTGGGTGGGGCCCCATCCTCACATTATCTCCAAAACCTTTGGGTTCATTGCCAACATTTAAAAAGCTGAAGACTTCACATAGGAATTCAGATTTCTAGTGTCTCTTGGAAAATTGGAAGTCTTCGCTGCCCCAGGCTGCATTCCCCTGACACCAGTAGGCTGCTCTCCGCTCCGCACTTCCCGCCTGGACGGCCTTGGCCATTTCTGTGACCTGCCTGCCTTGGCTGAGTTTGAGTCCCCAGTGTCAGCATCCAGGCTCTGAGGTGCTGCCACTCTTTGAGGCACCCCACTCTGGGAGGTAAGCCCCTCTCGACTCCCTCCCGGAGATCCCAACAGCCCTCATACCACACCCGTCCACTACAGCTGTTGACGTTTTCCTTCACAGTATTTTACCTGCAATGACACCCCTGTGAGGTGACCGGGATGGGTGTACCTGCCCAGTCCTCTCACATGTCAGATAAAGAAACATCAGAAAGTTTGGGTAACTTTCCCAAGGTCAAACAGCAAATCCACAAGGGTCTGACCCAGCCCAGGAAATGGAGAGGGATTAGAAGAGTGACCATCTTTGGGTGGGAGAAGACTTAGCTTAGTGCTGGGGGTGGTGGGGTCCCTCCAGTACCAGGGGGAGAGGGCTTTGGGCCCCGCTGCGGGAGGTGTGTAGTTGGAGGAGTGTCAGGCCCAGGCTGAAGGGAGCCTTGGAGAGCACTAAGTGGAACCTCCCTGGTCCCATTGTCCTGAGGGGCATACTGAGGTCTGAGGATAAAGGGTTCTCCCCAGAACCCCTCAGCCTGTGAGGAACAGAAGGAGTGCGCTTCCAGGAGGCATTCTAGGGCCGGGCAGGGCTCCCCTTCTGGGGTCTGCCCTTCAGATAAGCCCGGCTGCCTTATCTGAAAGACGAGTGGGGCCCACACTGGCATGGGGCCCTGAGCTGCCAGGCATCATGCCTGGTGTTTAAGTTCAGATGCGTCCTTTATCTCAGTGAGGCCTCACACCCCTGGAAACTGCACACACAATTACTTCTACTTCAGGATTATGGGCAAAGAATGGATTGGAAAACCCATAGTCCAGCCTCTCAGGTGGATAATGACAGTGGAACGTGTTGATCTAAGTCCCTTACATTTACTACTTTCTTTAATCTCAGAACTACCCCCTGAGGTAGGTACATTTGGAGGATGAGGACACTAAGGCACAGAGAGGTCCAGCAACTTGCCCCGGGTCACATAGCTGGTAAGTTGTTAGGGCCAGAGCCTGAACCCAGGGAGGTAGTAGGCCAGCCCTCCATCAGAACTGATGTCAGTATCACAGTTAGGTCAGATCGTGACATCCGTCGGCTGTCAAAGAGTAGCTAAGAAAGATGTGTTGGTTTCCTGGGGCTGCCATCACAAAAATACCATAAACTGGGCTGCTTCAGACAATAGAAATCTGTTGTCTCACAGTCCTGGAGGCTAGAATTTCGAAATCGAGATATTGACATAGTTGGTTCCTTCTGGAGGCTCTGAAAGAGAATCTGGTCCGTGCCTCTCTCCTGGCCAATCCTTGCTGTTCCCGCTGCTCACAAGTCACCTTCCCAGTGAGATCTTTCTTGGCCTCTTATCTGAAATTGCAAATGACCGCACTGCCCGTTCCTGCTCAGCTGCAGTTTTCCCATAGCACTTAACCCTTGCCCTATGGCTTGCTTGCCCACATTCATCAATGCACTGGGCTTTTATCTGGGTCCCCTCCATAGAGGGGAGCTCTGGGAGAGCAGGTGTTTTGTCTGTTTGGCTCACACAGTAGTAGGTGTTCGATAGATACTTGTTGAATGAATGGTCCCAGAGAGGGGCACCCGAGCTGCAAGGTGACTATCCTGGACAGAGGGGCTTGGATCACACCCTGGAGACAGGTGGCCCTCCTTTGCTCTCTACCCTCGGCTACCTACTCCTGTCCCCTTCCCTCTGAAAAGTGGGGTTTACTCTTGTCCAGTAGACCACAGGACAAGTCCTCTGGCCCCTTCTTCCAGCTACAGGAGGGGTCTTTGGCCAGAGGGGGGATGCGGCTGTCAGGCTAGCAGAAGGGTTGGCAAATGTGGGGCCTCCCTGTCCTGAGTGGGGTCTCCCTGGGGCCCTGGGCTGGGGTGCGCCATTCAGATTCCTGGGGCCGGGGGAGAGTGGACAGGAAAAACCAGTCTCTCTGGTTCCAAGGGAAGAGTGGCCCTTTCCTTCTTTGAGGGCAGAAACCGAGGCGGCTCCCAGGGCACAGGGCCAGGTTAGGAAAGCCAGGAGGAACCCCAGAAATTCCCGCTGCTTATCTGGCGGCTTTATCTCTCAGAGGCTGTGCTTGCTGATCTGGAAACCAGGGCTGGGCTGGAGGGCAGGGCAGAGCCAGGGGAAAGCTCAGGTGTCCTCATCAGTAACTCTCAGTAGCCTGGGTTCCAGAGAAGGTCAGAGCTGGGTTCAAATCCTGCCCTGCCCTACCCCCAACCCTGGGGGGACCCATGGGCAGCTGCAGATATTTCCCTCTGAGTTTCTATTTGAAAAATGGGGGAAATATATAGTACACACCAGTGAGGGGGTCATGGGGAAACTGTGAACCAAACAGGGAGTGGCTTACCTGAGGCCCGGCATGGACCCGGAGGGCGTTCGGTGGCGTTCAAGGAGTAATCGTACCAGTAAGTGGTAGGTACACGTTGGCTGAAGCCAGATTGGTCTTGTCTTGATTTTCAGTTCAGTGCATTTTCTGACTTCCTTTTCTGGTGGTTGAAGCAGTAGCACATTGGCCTGGGGGCCCATCAGGACCCCGCTTGACGTGGAAGGATGATTGTCCCTGACGAGTCTGGTTCTTACCTGGGAGAGTCCTGCAACGAGCTGTGTTGGTGGTGGTGGGGGGGGTTCTCCTTCAGAGCAGTGGCCTCACCCAGCTCTGGGGGCTCTTGGCCGCCCTCATATGTCGTTCTCAGGCAGGGTGCCTGAGGATGGGTGGTAAACCTGGGGGTGCTGTGCTGAGACACCCCAGCTCTGGGTCCTCGCTGGTAACAGCTCTGTCACTTACTTGCGTGCCTGCAGGCAAGGCCCTGCCGCCTTCCTCACCCCTAAATTGGGCCATCCAGGCCACTGCCAGCCCATCTCTGGTGGGTGGAGGGGGGCAAGGCCAGGAGCACATCACCGGTTCACCCCTGCTTCCTGTGCTGGGCAGGTTTCTGACCCCCATTTCATGGATAAGGAAACCGAGGCTTGTTAGTTCTGCACACACATCTACTGACCAGGTACCTCTGGGCCCTGGAGATACAGCAGTGACCAAACTCGGACTCCTCACGGTACCTGCATTCTGGTGGGGAGACTGGAGTTGTTCCCCGGGAGCTGCACAGAGAGGGAAAGGAGCTTGCCCAGGGTCCAACAGCATGGGCAGGATTAAAGCCCCGCTGTTGGCTTTCAGGCTCCAGGGCTCCACCTCCCACTGGGAGGAAAAGTCAACCACACCGCTCCTGGCCTCTAGGGCAGGAGGGGCAGGATGAGGAGAAAGGAGCATTGTCCTACAGATTTCTGGACTCAGCTAAGGTCATTCCTGTCCTGACCCCTCACATGTAGGGGAATGGGTACGCAACATGCCTTCAGTCCTTGGCAGGGCGCTGGGGTGGGAGCGCGCAGCAGGTTCCCAGTGCTGGCTGTGCTCGCTGGTGAGCACCAGCTCTCCGGGGGCTGGTATAGGAGCTTTTGGCCAAGGGGCCTTTTTGTTTCCAGAACCAGCAGCCAGAGATGGATTTGGCTCTTGAGCCATTTCTCTCTGATCTGTCTGATGGTTAGCTCATTCTCCAGCTGTGGCAGGGTCCCCGTGAGCCTTGCTGCCACAATGCCTGGATGCCATCCAAGAAAGAAGAGGGACAGTTGTCTTGGTGCATCTTTGTCAGCAAGGGAGCCTTTCTCCAGAGCCCCCCATTAGACCCTCCCTGCCTCCGCGCTAGCGCTGAATCATGCCTAGCTCCAGAGATTGCAGAGCGTGCCGTTGTGGAGAAGGGAGGGTGCCTCAGCCTCGGGGATCTTGGGCAGCAAGGAAGGGGGTGAAAGCCATGGAGGAGGCCAGGATGGCGCCATGGGAGGTGTGCTGACTGTCTGGATGCAGCTGTGAGACAGTCATTGTCCTGCCCTCAAGGAACTCAAAAGTCAGGGGAAGGAAACAGAGTCTGGTCCTGGGTGGTGGGTGCCTGGGGGGCCAGGAGGGCACAAAAGAAGTGTTCTAGAAGCCAGACTGGAGGACCAGGGGGAAAGTGTCCTATGGTGTGCAACGTTTCAACTGAGATCTGAAAGGAGGAGTTACCAGGCAAGGGTAGCTCCCTTACCTGGTATGCAGTAGGAGCCAAATAAATGTTTCTTTGACTAAATGAGAAATGTGTCCTGCAGAGCGAGCCACGTGGCCTCCGGCCGGAGTGTTGGGGGCTCTGGGGGACTCTTGGCCCTGTCTCGTCCCTCCAGGTGCTGGGGCTGCTGGTGTGGGCCCTGATTGCCGACACCCCATACCACCTGTACCCGGCCTACGGCTGGGTCATGTTCGTGGCTGTCTTCCTCTGGCTGGTGACAATCGTCTTCTTCATCCTCTACCTGTTTCAGCTGCACATGAAAATGTACATGGTGCCCTGGCCACTGGTGGTGAGTCCGGGTGGGAGCACGGCGTTGTGGGGGGGGTGCCTCAAGGCTGACCCCTCTGCCTCTGGGAGGAGCTGTGACAGAGGCACCTTCCCTGCCTGAGATGTGGGTGGTGGGGGTTGGCCCTCAGCCAGCTATAGAGCTGAGTGGGGGAGGGAGGATCCATGGCCACAAATTCAGGAGGACATAGACTTGGCTTTCTTCAGAGAAGGGAGAAGTGAGGCGCGCGCTCTCTCTCTCTCTATTTTTTTTTTTTTTAAAGATATTATTTGTTTATTTGAGAGAGAGAGAGCACAAGCTGGAGGAGCAGCAGGCAGAGGGAGAGGGACAGGGTGAAGGAGACTCCCTGCTGAGCAGGCAGCCGGACATGGGGCTCGATCCTAGGACCCCGGGATCATGATTGGAGCCAAAGGCAGACGCTTAACCACTGAGCAACCCAGGTGTCCCTGTGCGGGCTCTCGAATGGAGAGCCTCCTGCATTTGGAATCTTGAAAGTGTTTTTCTGTTTTGTGGGGGCAGTTGGGATTTGAACCTGTGTTTCAGGAGGTCTGTCAAGACTCTCCCAGCCCTCAGCCAGACTATCAGGAATTACCCAGAATAAGGCCCCAACAGCTCGGGAGAGGGTGGCCGCCCCGCTTTGTCCAGGTCAGTCTTCTCGGGACACAGAGCTGAGAGCGGCCATAGGAAGTTCCCCGGCCAGACACAGAAAGCTTGCTGGGCTTTTTTCTCTGACCTGGAAAACCCCTGCAGCTGGGGTCTGAGGCTTTCAGTGAGCGGCGAGGCAAGAGAGGCACATGATTGTAAGACAAGCAAGGCTGGGACTAGGCGGCATTGTGTGGAATTCAATGACTGTTTAAACTGAGGAAACGTGAGTCATCCTCAAGACAGAACGGGTTTGTTAGATCTTGACATCACTGGCAGGAGCCAGGCAGTGTTTGTGGTGGCCGCTGGGCTTGCAGGGAAGATCCTGGGCTGAGGAGGGGATGGCCGGACTTCCTGGCTAGGGTCCAGTCTCGGTCATGGCCACGTCCTAGGAGCCTTGAAGAAAGAAATCTCCCAAGATGGCGGGGACCTCAGTGTCTCTGAGCACAGACCTGGGGCTTCGGCCACAGCTCTTGTTGGAAAGAGGCTCCTTTCCTCGGCCAAGATAGCAGGGCAGTGTCTCTTTGGCTGCTGGGCCTATTGGCAGATAAAGCTTGGCTGCATCTGGAGACGACTGGATTGGGATTGTCAGATTGGCATTTTCTGGGATGGGGACTACAAGCTCCCTACCGGACCTGGGCAAGGTGAGTGAGTGATGTAGGTTGAGGAGGGGTTCTGGAGAACCTGTACCCGTCCATCTGTAGGGACCCACCTCCTACTGTCAGTGCGAGTGCAGGCCCCTTGGTACCAAATCTTGATATTTTAAGATTGAAAGTTTTATATGAGCTCTTTGGATTTTCATATGAAATCTCATTTTCGGGGCACCTGGGTGGCTCAGTCGGTTAAGCATCTCCCTTCAGCTCAGGTCATGATCTTGGGGTTCTGGGATCAAGCCCCACGTCGGGCTCCCTGCTTCTCCCTCTCTTCCCTGCTCATGCGCTCTCTCACTATCTTTCTCTCTCTCTCTCTCAGATAAATGAAATCTTTAAAAAAAAAAGCTTTAAAAAAAATCTCATTTTAGAATGTTGATAATTTTTTTTTTTTAAATCTATAGGTTGAACCAAATGTGCCTGAGGGCCACCAGTTTGCAGTCTCTGCTAAGACTGTTTATGGGCTCCAGGGGCCAAGTGTTGGGGAAATGGGACTCGGGCCTGAATGTCAGCCGAGCGTCCCTTCTGCCAGTCAGCCCCAGAATCCAGCTGGGTCCTCACTCTGGCATTTGACATGGCGGCCTTCAGTCTAGGATGTGGCCAAAAGGCAGACAGATATTCCCCCATGGCGGGGCAGAGAGGGATGGGAGGTCTTCCCAGGGCCAGCCTCAGGACCAGGGCCCACAGTGCCATGAATGGGGGCCAAGCTTGCATGGAAGAACATGGCCCTGGAATTCTTCAGCTGGTGCTCTCAGAGATGGCCTTCATTTGGTCTCCTGCCATTGGGAATGGAGTTTTGCCTTGTGGGGCTGTCACTGCCCCTCCCCTGACCAGATCACTTTAGGCCTTCCCATCATTTCCCCTCCCCTCTCAGCCTTATGTGTGTTTATGCTCCCCGCTTGGATGGCCTCTGGGTTGACCCCATGTGGACTGCCACCCTGAGGAGTATAGTGGGAAAGACCCACGTATCCGTCCCCGTCCTTGAGCCCCCGGCCCCTGTTCTGGATATTAAAGGGGTGTGCCAGGGGCAACTGAAAGAGTCTGCCATCTTTAGCTTGTTCTCCCCTCCCCCCACCCCCTAGTTAATGATATTCAACATGGGCGCCACTGTTCTCTACATCACGGCCTTCATCACCTGCTCTGCCGCCGTGGAGCTGACGTCCCTGAAGGGCACCCGGCCTTATAACCAGCGTGCGGCCGCCTCTGTGAGTATGGGTCCCCGGGGGTGCCCTTGGCAGTGATGGGGGAGGGGTGGGTCAAACCAAGTCTGTGCCTCTGGGCTTCCACCACCCCCTGGTTTGAGGCCAGCATCTGCCACCTCCAAGGGACCTCCTTCTCAGGAGGGGCTCAGGGACGTGCAGGTTTGTCCTCCACAGTTAGAAGTAAACCTCAAGGAACTGCAACACTTGAAAATACTTTCAGTGGTAAATGGGAGTTTTGGGTTCACTGTTGAACTTTTCTGGCACACAGGTGCTTCGTACCGATTTACAGTCCGTGTGCCCCCTTGGAGAATCTGTTAAAAACTGCCCACCCGTCTTAAAAGGCCCACACAATACCTTTTGGTTTAAACCATTTGGGGGGATTTACAGCTCTCTCAGGAAGCCCCGACTTGGGCTTCATATCAAGCAGCCAGTGGCATACCAGCAACCCTGTCCACACCTGTCACGCTTCAGTCCACGGGGCCCTGTGCAGACATTACCTCACAGGATCCCTTGACTTCCACAGTGAGGGACTACCAGTTCCTCTGGACAGACAAGGAAACTGAGGCTCAGTGACATGAACACGCCAAGGTGCAGTCCAGGGTTGGGCAGGAGCAAGACCAGTACATGGGTTTCCTCAGCTTCAGAATGTGGCTGCAGGGGCCAGTGTAGTCCACCTATGAACTGATTCCAGAGAATTCCTTGGATACTTTTTTTTTTTTTTTTTAAGATTTTACTTATTTATTTGACAGAGAGAGGCAGGGGGAGCAGCAGGCAGAAGGAGAGGGAGAAGCAGGCTCTCTGCTGAGCAGGGAACCCGATGCAGGGCTCAATCCCAGGACTCTGGGATCATGACCCGAGCTGAAGACAGAGGCTTAACCCACTAAGCCACTTAGGTACCCCTCTTGGGTACTTTATGAACATTGTCTTTTTTTTTTTTTTAATATTTTATTTATTTATTTGACAGAGATCACAAGTAGACAGAGAGGCAGGCAGGGGGATGGGTGGGAAGCAGGCTCCCTGCTGAGCAGAGCGCCCGATGTGGGGCTCGATCCCAGGACCCTGGGATCATGACCTGAGCTGAAGACAGAGGTTTCAACCCACTGAGCCACCCAGGCACCCTGAACATTGTCTTTTTAAAACTAAATTCCTGATGTTGTCTGAAGGAGCTCCTACCCCTTGGTCACTCTCAACACACTGTCCAGTTGCCTGTGTCACAGTCTGACCTACCTTGCTGCATGGTTAGCCATGGTTTCCCCCACAAGAATGTAATGTCGGCACCCCTACAAACACTTGGGAAGTGAGTGTGTGGCTAATTGGAGTTGGGGTGGCTGCCAGTGCAGCTTGTTCTAGTTAAGTGGGGAGCACTACTCCAGGTTTTACTGTATATGCCCTTCTGAGGCTGTCTGGTGCTCGTATCTGTCCACCTTGACCCCTTCCCCCCATTGCCACGCTGCACACCAACTCAGCTTTGGTGTCTTCTTCCTCTTCCAGTTCTTTTCGTGTTTAGTGATGATTGCCTACGGAGTGAGCGCTTTCTTCAGCTTCCAGGCCTGGCAGGGAGTGGGCAGCAATGCGGCCACCAGTCAGATGGCTGGGGGCTACGCCTAGACCACGCGTGCCATGGCCCCCAGCGTGGGGCGGCCCACAAGCCCGAGGCCTGAGCCCTCTGTGGAGTCGGCCTAGAAGGGACTACGCTTGCTCTGCTCTGCTCGTCAGACTCCTAAGGAATCAGGATCGTTCCCTCTGGTTTGGCCCAAGTCAGCATGCACAGGGGCTGGAAGGAGGCCAGTGGCTGGGACCGCCTGCCCATCCTCCGTATGTAGTGGAAGGCGACGGGGGATACAGGCCTCTCAGTGTCTCTGCTTTGTCTTTAGAAGACCTCAGTGTCCCAGGCTGGGGCCCAGGCTTCTCACCAACACTAAGTACACTAACAAGGACTCCAGACCTGCAGTCCCTGACCTTCTGTAGAATAAACCTAACAAGCCATGTGTATTTATCTTAGTCTTTGTTCTGGGACCGCAGAGCAAGTTTTTGAAACTGGTCTGGGTCCTTAAAAACACAGGGGTTTTTTTTGTTACTGTTTTGGGGGGTTTTTTGTAAGTAAGTCTTGAACTCACAACCCTGAGATTGAGACCTGAGCTAAGATCAAGAGATGGCTACTTAACTGAGTGAGCCACCCAGGTGCCCCCCCCCACCGGCCCATAAAACACAATTCTGACCCTCCCCCAAACCAAAGGCTGCTTCGAGGGAGACTTTTGCAGAAAGAGGGGTATGATTTCTGATGGCACGGTCTTCCTTTCCTGCATTTCAAACATACAAGTGATTTCAAACAATCTGTTGGAAGCAACTTCTCAGTGATGAAATACCCAGCCAGCCTTCCCTCCCTCCCTCCCTCCAACCCTTGTTTGTAACACTCCCTTGGAGAAAAGCTAACCATGCTGACTACTTCCCTGACACTGTTGATGAGGCACGGGGGACATGAAGGAGGGAGGGAATCAAGAACTTGCCTGGTAAGTTGTCCTGTGCTTGGTGGTGACTTTGTTCTTTGGGTTTTTTGTTTTTTGGTTTTTTTTTACAAAAATAAAGATGGAAGAACTTATTTGGAAAAGGTGTTGGGTAATCCTGATTGTAGATGCTTATAAATTCTGGGAAGGTGCAGGGAAGGGTTGCAGTGAGAGGTTCCAAATACCTGGAGTGGGCAAGTCCAGTTCTGGAGTTACTCAGCAGCACTTGTGACGTCCTTTACCAGAGGCGGCCTGACCCACTTCCTACCTGCCTGGCCATGTGTCCCGACAGGTTGAACATACCTTTTACCTTTTACTCTCCTAAGGCTCTCAGTTGAACACTGAATCATGACTCTAGCTTTAGGCTTCTTAGGTCATCTTGCTGGACTCAACATTGCCCTCCTGTTAGCTCCCTTGAAGGTTTTGTGCAGTTCAGAAAGCGTGTCATCAAAGCCGATGACCACGCCTGATTTGGGAGGCTGGCGCAGACCACAGTGAGGGGCAGTCCTCCCAACTGAGCTCATGCTTTTGTTGCCAGAGTAACAGGCTTTGAATGATCAGCTGAAGGCATTTCTGGGCACCCTTTGGTCCTTTTTGGACAACCCCAGGGACAGTCAGAATGTAAATACAGTGGTCTCCCATGTGACTGGTGGCCGACAGTCTGGAACCAGATGGTCCTTCTGCTGAGAAGGCTCACAGCAAGGTCACACTGCACCTGCGCCCTTCACCTCTCCTCCTGTAGGTGCTGGGTCAGCTCCCATCATCAGAGGAATATAGGACAGTAAGAGGTCTTGAGAGAGACCACACTCAAGTAACTTTCATTAACAGTATATGTTTAGAATGGTTTTATTTTATTGTTGTTCATCTCTTACCGTGTCTTTAGAAATTGAACTTTTATCACGGTGGGGGGAGGATGTAGAGGGAAAAACACTGTATAGAGAGAGTTTAGTGCTATCCATGATCTCAGGTATGGAGGGGCAGGGGTCTTGAGACAGAGCCCCTGCTGATGGCGGTGTGGGGGCCGCTGTAGAGGCACACAGTTGTGGCAACGACTCTAGCTGTGGGGATTGGGGATGTAGCCAGACACCCATGTCCCAGTCACCCTGGGACAGGCCCAGTTCGTGCCTGTTGCAAACGCAAACAGCATCCCTTTTTAAGTGCCTCAGAATTTGAGCAATTGCTAGTCATTCCAGGACTCAACCAGAGAAGAGAGTTCCGCGTTAAGGATCAATCCATTTTCTTTTGAGGCTAAAGAGGAAACAAAAACCCTAAGGAAGTCTTAAAAGTTTTCTGACCCTGCTACAACAGCCTGTTGCCTTGCAGATGTCAGTATGCTCAACTGGACTGCTTGCTTTTGGTTTAGGCCTGAGCCCCCCAACCCCACCTCCGATCCTTCGACCCTGCAGTTCAGGTGAATATTGCTTCCCACGGGTGAGGAGGCCACAGCAGTAAGTTGTATCGCTGTCTCTGAGGCTGGCCAGGATGTTTCTCATCCCCAGTCAGCCCTGAGCCCCATCAGAGGCGACACACGAGGATGGAAGTTCCTATGTGGACAGAGACAGGTTTCTAGTTGGTGGATTTTTCTTTTTTTGTTTTCATTTTTTCAGATTTTATTCATTTCAAAGAGAGCCCATATGCATAAGCATGAGCAGGGAGCAAGGGAGAAGCAGGCTCCCTGCTGAGCAGAGAGCTCAGTCCCAGGACCCTGGGATGCCCTGAGCCGAAGGCAGACGCATAACCAACTAAGCCCCCCAAGTGCCCTGCTTTTATAAGAAATCAGAAAGCCAGGACGCCTGGGTGGCTCAGTTGGTTAAGCAGCTGCCTTTGGCTCAGGTCATGATCCCAGTGTCCTGGGTTCGAGTCCCACATCCTGCTCCTTGCTCG